TGTGTGGTGGCTCTTGATGCCTTGACCCCAGCCTCAGTCCATTCCTTGTGAAGTTCACTCAAATTCTTGAATCGATTTTGCTTGACAATCCTCATAAGGCTGCGGTTCTCTCGGTTGGTTGTGCATCTTTTTCTTCCACACTTTTTCCTTCCACTCAACTTTCTGTTAACATGCTTGGATACAGCACTCTGTGAACAGCCAGCTTCTTTGGCAATGAATGTTTGTGGCTTACCCTCCTTGTGAAGGGTGTCAATGATTGTCTTCTGGACAACTGTCAGATCAGCAGTCTTCCCCATGATTGTGTAGCCTAGTGAACCAAACTGAGAGACCATTTTGAAGGCTTAGGAAACCTTTGCAGGTGTTTTGAGCTGATTAGCTGATTGGCATGTCACCATATTCTAATTTGTTGAGATAGTGAATTGGTGGGTTTTTGTTAAATGTGAGCCAAAATCATCACAATTAAAAGAACCAAAGGCTTAAACTACTTTAGTCTGTGTGCACTGAATTTATTTAATACACGAGTTTCACAATTTGAGTTGAATTACTGAAATAAATGAACTTTTCCACGACATTCTAATTTATTGAGATGCACCTGTAGGTTCTATTGTATTTTGTCACGTCACATCGCGCACCGCCACTCGCGTCTGGTGTAGACACGGTGTGAGGAAAAACAGCCCTCGTCCTTTGGAAAGGAAGAGCAAAAACGTCACGGTTACAAAACTAAATGCTCTTAAGAATAATAATGGACCTTTCAGTGTTGAAGTCAGCCACTTGGTGACCAGGCATCTATGCGAACACTCAAAATATTTGATCTAAAATAATACTGCCATCAGAATAATCACCGAAGAGATATGTGTTCAGTGCAAGATTGTAACTGTTAATGTTCAACCCCACTAAGCAGAAGAATATCCCAGCTATTGAAACAGAATGTAATTATTCTACAATCAGGAATGACCAACTCCAAAGATTACCTATAAAGAATAATAATTATAATAATAATAATAATAATACAAATAAAAACACAGCTACAGATTAAAAGGCTTACAATGAAAGGAGGCCTTTTAAAAAATTATTCTAAATTTTCCTCATTTGTAGAGTATTGTCTCAAAAAAAAAAAAAACCCTCTCATCTTCCATTAATGGAAGTCACTGTCCCTTTTGTTGTACGCGACTCATTAATATGCATAAAACTATGAAATACTGATAAGCAAGCTAATGTAACAAAAATAAAATCCTCACAGTTAATATTTGCCAAAGTCCTTAAACCGTGAACACTAACAATGAAGCGCTCCGCTTCAAACAGCCGACTGGCAAGGATCTTCTGGCACTAGAAAAGTGAAATCACCAAACATACAGCATGTCAAGTCTTCCACTCCATGCAATAACTATTTTTTCTGTCCGTCACTAAACTCTAGACAATCTCTCAGCCGAGCGAAGGAGACGCAAAGTGCCAGCTAACATCCGCATGATTCCTTGCCGCTGCGGACTGTCATTTTCCTATACTCGCCATTCTTCCAGGCTCTTTTTTTCCCTCACATCTGGAGAGGAAGACTAAAACGGGAGACATGAGGTTTACTAGGAGAAGGCGGGTGGGATGTTGGGGTCTACCAGGGCGGAGTGGAAGGCAGGACCTGCGAGAGGAAAGACATGCTTTCCATTGGCCTCATGGCAATGTTGAGCGGACCGGTGATGTTCATTGACATGGGCGAGGTTATGGCGACGGGATGGGCGATGTTCATGGGCATCGTAGCTGGGATGTTGACCGAGGTGATGTTGACGGGAGCAGTGATGGTGACTGGATGCTGAAGGCTGACGGGGGAGGTGATGTTGACCGTGTTGGTGGTGATGTTCATCTGGGCGGCGATGGTGACGGGGTTGCTGGCGATGCCACGGTTCATGGCCGTAGTGTTGGATGCGGTTGAAGCAGTGACTGGTGTGACTGAGGCAGAGTTGCACATGTTGTTAGAGTCTGACCGGAAAAAGTAAAAAAGGAAAGAGTGAATAAAACACTGGGGTGATTTCTAGGGTTCATTAATAAAGATGGCCAATGGTTAGTGTGAGAGTTTCAGGCGAGTAGCTGTCTTGCCACTGAATATTTTAAATTTATTGATCTTATACATCTATTTTTACATTTGGTTTACTGCAATGTATTCCACATTGCTGTTGCAAATTTGTCACCAACATAATTTTTTGGCTAAAAATTAAAAAGTGGCTAGATTGTCAAAAATAACTTGTGATGGTCTTGAAAGTATCAGTAAAACCTACAAACCAATGTTTTGCATTACATATTACATAATTAGCTTGTTGTTAAGAAAAAAAATCTTTGTAAATAAAAAAAATATTTTTTTGTATAGATGTATTTTTATAAATACTTCTAGTAAATATAATACATTGTTAAAGACCAATGTTTCTAAAGAAAAGTGTTTACATTTTCTGTAAACACTGTAAATAAAATTGTGGATTGTTTGGCAAAAATCTAACATTTCATGAAAAATATAAATGTTTCTAGTAATTATAAATATACAGTGTTAAAGAAATATGTTCCTAAAAGAAATGTTGAATTTTTTTTTTTATTTGTAATTAACATTTTATGAAAAATATAAATATTTCTAGTAAATTAATTGTAGTAGTATTAAAATACATAATGTGGTGGGACTAGTGAAAAGTACAAATCAGAACTGAAGAAAATCCTTACAGTTAAGGCCTGAATATCTCTAATTTTTACCTAACCTCTACATAATTGAATATCCAATATTCACAGTACACAGCTGACAGTGGTGGGCTTTAAAAGGCCAGGTTGGGGAAAATACCCTTTAGCACCTAATATTATGAAAAGTGAACAAAAAAGACAATTCCATTTTGTAATGGTGGCAAACAATCAGAAAGCACTAATTTATGTGGCAGGATCGAGGGAAACCAGTGGCACCTCTCTTAGTGTGAAAGTCATCCTAGAGGACATCTGAAAATTATTGGAGAACTGACATACCTTTGTTACAGGGAGAGGTGAAGCCGGCCTGGCCGTGGGTCTTGAGGTGGCTGGTGATGTAGGCGGCACTCAGCATCTTCCCGCAAATGTTGCAGGTGACTTTGCCTTCATGCCGTATCATGTGTGAACGCAGACGGTCTTTGGTGGCGAAGGCGGACGTGCAGGCCTGCAGTGACGGAAAGACAAATCAGTGTGTGGACAGAGTGCGACAGACCAATGAAACTGTTTGAGTGTGCAGGAGAGCGAGGGGCATGCGCAGTCCTACCGTTACTTGGCATTTAAAGGGTCGTTCTGTGGAGTGTACGTGCTTGACATGACAGCTAAGATGATCAGGCCTGTTGGAGAGGAAATCACAAACAATAAAAAAATGACGTCATGGATGAGAGCAAAACTTGAACTGAACTGCATGATGGCACTATTATTAGGGCTGCACAATAATGGTTAAACTGATAATCGCGAGTAATCATGATTATTGTAAAAAGAAATGTCTAAAATGACTTCATTATTATTGCACTTTCACATAAGCACAAATCAAGAAAACAAACTTAAGTGGCTTATTTTAACTCATCTAAGTTCCTGATGCATTACATTTCTCAAATAAATGAACAGTCTTTACACTATGAAAACTGGTCCAACAAGAAGCTTTCTAAAGCTAAACCAGTGAAATTCCTAATAATAACTACAACAACTGCAAACCATGTTAATGTTTTTCTATTAAAACTACAACAAAAAAGAACTTATATTGTGGCACAGAGTTCGCACGCATTTATTGAGCAAACACAATCGTAAATAATACAGTTAAGCGCTACATAAATAAGTGAGACAAATTGGTTTCTTCTATAAAAAAATGAAACAAAAAGGTACAATTGTTTAGAATTGCTGAACATACCGAGAGAAGCCTTTCCCACAAACGGAGCAGATATACGGCTTGTGCACGCCACCGTCGTGCGAGCGCACATGGTAGGTCATGCGGTCCTTCCTCTTGAAACGCTGGTGACATATGGGGCACTCGAAGGGCTTCTCGTCCGAGTGTGAGAGCTTGTGGCGGTTGAGGTGATAGACGTCACGGAAGGCCTTGCCACACATCTCGCAGCCGTGGTTCTTCTTCACCGGTTTGGGGGGTTTCTTGGGTACGGCCGGCTGCTGCTGAGGCAGGACCGACATCACGCCCGCGGCCGTTGATGCAGATGCGGAGGTGGTGGCGGTGGTGAAGATGCCCGCCACTGTGGAGACATAGGAGGGGTTGCCATTGTTGTCGCGTGGCACAGTGGAAATGAGAGACACCATGGTGGGCGCTGTGGTTGTCTTCTTGGGCCGTGAAACCATCTTAATGCCCGTGTGACAGGACTCATGCCGCCGGAGGTGGTAACTGTCCCGAAAGGCCTTGTTACAGTAGCCGCATATGAAGGGAGTCTTTGACTTGGGCTCCTTCTTTATTACTACCTGACCACCACCTCCTCCCCCTCCGCCCGTCCCACCGCCCATGTTGTCTTTTAGGAGGTCAGTCGCACTGACTGGGGGTTTCTGGTCGAGTGGGATGGGAAGAACAGGCTTTTGATCCTGCGGCTCAGAGTTGAGCAGCGGCAGTAGGCTGTTCTGGTGCTGGTGGTGGAGGGCTTCATTGGCCTGCTGAGATAGAAAGAGAAGACATCTTAGCATGCTGAACAATTTTTTGAAGATTTTAGCCCTGAAACAAAACCAAAACTGTCATAAAGCATATTTTAACACTAGTGGTCGACCGATATTGTTTTTTTGACAGACAATGCCGATATCTTAGAGACCAGGGTGGTCGATGGCCGATATATGTATTAAATATATAAGTATATATATTTTATTTTAATTATATTTTATTATTATAATTTGTATTTATTTTAGTTAATGTTTGAGAAATTTGAAATAATTCGAAAATGAATTATATTAAAAATAAATGCGTAAAATATAAATACTTTAGATGACAACTTCCTGATTCTGTAATCCTATTACAGTATTTTTCACAAATAAATAAATATTTAAAAATATATAAATAAAAAGAAAGTAAACACTGTAACCAACAGGGCACACTGGGAATCTGGGAAGTATGTGTGCATTGGGCACGCAGTAAAAACGACATGAATATGACTCTGGGCAAATGGATAAAGCGAAGCATAACTTGAAATCACAAATCTAATGTTTGTTGGTCACGCATTCAATTCACATGGACCGACCGTCATGCAGAGAACACGCGATCATGCAGGATACAAATGCATACTTCACAAGATCCCACGACTGGACTAAGTCCGCAAGGTCTGTGGAATTAAATGTTTATTAGGCATTTGTTTAAATGATATAAATGCGTATTTGCTGTACACTGACGGTAAACGTAAAAGTATTATAATGTTTGCCTTTCTATTACTAATAATAGTTAAGCAATTGTTATAATACTTTTTTGTATACTTTTTAATTCATTTGTTCAACAGTTCTACAGCAAACAATGAAGAGGGAGAATGTGAGCGCTGTGCTGTTCTCAGCACCGTCAAAATAAAAGTATGGTGTGCGAACATATCGGCCAAACAGAAAACCTTATCGGCCGGTGCCGATATTTGAAATATGCCAGATATTGGACAATATATCGGCCTTGGCGATATATTGGTCAACTACTATTTTACACTGTCGTTGAAATGTTTTTGATAGTGGTCGACCAATATTGTTTTTTTGACAGCCGATGCTGATATCAAAAGCTTCGTTCAGACTGTCAGCTTAAATCCGATTTTGTGCATATCCGGATGGAATCTGATTTGAATAACTGACTGTCCACACAGTGTATCGCAACTGTTCATATCCGATTTGTGTGTCCATAAGCCCTCTTTTGTTTTACTGAATGTGCTTTGGTTACTATGGCAATGCCGTTGCGTTGTTATGCCTACGCTAAAAACAACAATAACAGCAATACAGTTTGCAATACATTGTCTTACGACATGACATGTTGCCGTCACACTGGATTATTTTTATTATTATGGATTTCGTTTTATGAGGCAGAATCAGAAACGCAGGAAGCTGGAATGTGCAACTTTATACCGTGCTGCCATCTCCGCTGGTTTCAACACTCAAAGAGGTGAGTATACTAGCAGTATATTGTCTTTTTCCGCTTGACTTTGACAGTTCACAACAACACACGCTTGTTTCTACAAAGACATTTATTATGTTTTCTAAAAAAAAGCTATGCTAAATCCGATCTGAGCGGTCAGACTGAAACGGATTTCCAGGAATGCGATTTGAATAGGATTCCAAACCACATACTAATGTATGTGGATTTGCACAAATCAGATTTCATGTAGTTCGTTTTCATGTAGTTCTAAATATGATCGGATTTCAATCGGGTTTGCACAAAAATCGGATTTGGGCTGACAGTCTGAACAAGGCTTTAGAGAGCAGAGTGGCCGATGGCCAATATAAAGCCTATACATCATTTTTATTTATTGTAACTAACATAAGAAATTTTAAATAATCTGAAAATGATAAATGTGAAAAATAAACATACTTATACTTTAGATGACAACTACTTGTTTCTGTAATCCTATTACAGTATTTTTCACAAATAAAGAAATATTAAAAAATATATATAAATAAAAAGGAAGTAAACACTGTAACCAACAGGTCTTTCAGTAATCTGGGAAGTTTGTGTGCATTGGTGCATAATGTCAAGGTAACACTCATTTTACATACAGCACACAGTGAAAATGACGAACATGACAGTGGGCAAATGGATAAAGTGCAGTATAGTTTGAAATTATGAGTTTAAAGTTTGTCGATTGCACGTCTCTAGTGAAGCCGAACTCTCCTGTCAGCATTCAATTCACATGGACCAACCGTCACGCAGAGATCACGCAATCATGCAGTATACAAATGCATACTTTACAAGATCTCACAGCTGGATCCAAATAAGTCTGAAAAGTTTGTGAAATTAAATGTTTATTAGACATTCTAATATTTGTTTAAATGTGTATATGCTGAATGCTGATGGTAAACGAGAAATAATTATGTTTGCCTTTCTATTACTAATAATATAAAAGCAATCGTTATAATACTTTTTTGTATACCTTTTAATTCCTTTGTTTAACATTCTATTTGATTATCAGACAGACTTCTATACCTATTAGAAAGAACTGTTAAACCGTGACAGCAAACAATGAAAAGGGAGAGCGCTGTGCTCAGGTGCTGCCGTTCTCATCACTGTCAGAAAACAGAAAAACTTATCGGCCAATATTTGGCATTTTTCAAATATCGACATCGGCCGATAAGTTTTTCTGCTTTCTGACAGCGATGAGAACGGCAGCACCTGAGCACAGCGCTCTCCCTTTTCATAGTTTTTGAAGGATGCTTATGCTCACCAAGGCTGCATTTATTTGATCCAAAATACAGTAAAACAGTAATATTGTAAAATATTTTTACAACTTTAATGCTTTCTGCTTTAATAGATTTTAACATTTTATTTATTCCTATGATGCAAAGCTGAATGTTTAGCAACCATTACTACTGTCTTTAGTGTCACATGATCCTTCAGAAATCATCCTAGTATGCTGATTTTGTGCACAAGTAACAATTCTTTTTATCATCAAAGTTTTTGATGATATCACAAAATATTTTTGTGGAGACCATGATATTTTCTTTTCAGGATTCATTGACGAAAAGAAAGTTGAAAACAGCATTTATTTGAAATTGAAATCCTGTGTAACATAAATGTCTTTCCTGTCCATTTTGATAAATTTAATGCATCCTTGCTGAATAAATATATTAATTTATTTATTGAAGGAGGAAAAATCTTACTGACCCTAAACTTTTGAACATTTAAACTTTAATCTATTTTAAAAACAACAAAGAATGCTAAGCCTAACTATGCTCACCAAGGCTGCATTTATTTGATCCAAAATACAGTAAAACAGTAATATTGTAAAATATTTTTACAACTTTAATGCTTTCTGCTTTAATAGATTTTAACATTTTATTTATTCCTATGATGCAAAGCTGAATGTTTAGCAACCATTACTACTGTCTTTAGTGTCACATGATCCTTCAGAAATCATCCTAGTATGCTGATTTTGTGCACAAGTAACAATTCTTTTTATCATCAAAGTTTTTGATGATATCACAAAATATTTTTGTGGAGACCATGATATTTTCTTTTCAGGATTCATTGACGAAAAGAAAGTTGAAAACAGCATTTATTTGAAATTGAAATCCTGTGTAACATAAATGTCTTTCCCGTCCATTTTGATAAATTTAATGCATCCTTGCTGAATAAATATATTAATTTATTTATTGAAGGAGGAAAAATCTTACTGACCCTAAACTTTTGAACATTTAAACTTTAATCTATTTTAAAAACAACAAAGAATGCTAAGCCTAACTATATTTTTTTATGGCATGGCTGATACTTGGTAAACGGCTGATATTAAAGTTTTATAACGTTTTTGACTAAATATATTAAAAATGAAAACCAGAAATGAGTAATTTTAATGCTACAAGGGAATTTAGGCATCACAATATCACAGTATGAAAAAACATTAATTTTAAGACTTCTAAATATTACATGTAACAGGATTATTAAATTATTAGTACATTTAAAAATTAAGCAAGCATTAAGTGATGATAAAGGTTTAATTTAAATACTAAATATCAGCCAATATATATTCTAGATTAAACAATAACTATAAATAACAAAATCGTCTGTAATAAAACCTGACTCTGTAGGCCTATCATTCGCTTTGAACACATGATGCACACTCATCTGTGTGAAAAGCCTGGCTGTGATATTATGGGCCAGCTTTGCTATTGGCCAGTATGAGGTAGACACGACCTCAGCTGAGAGACGGTGTTAAATGTTTAGCAAAAATAGAAACTGACTCATTTCCAGGGCATCTGCGCAACTTGGAAAACAAGAGAAGCCCTGACTGGGACTTAGCAGGGGGACAGTCAGCTGTTCAGCAAAGTGCAGGATGACTAATGAGATATTGGAGAGATTGAGAAAGCTGAACAGAAAGTGAGGGAGAGACAGAATGAGAAGGAATGTGTACTGTAATGCATTCAGATATAAGAGAACATGCCAGAAACTGTCCATAAAAGAGCAACATACTTCAAGATGAGAAAACGCAGATGCATAAAAAAGACGTAATTCTTGGCAAACATGATCCCTGTGTGACTAACTGGAATCTTTAGATCCCGTCAGGGCAAGATGCGAATGTGCAGACGTGTGCATCATATCAGAGACTTCAGTGTTTTTGCACAAGAAATTAACAGCTTCCTGCAGCCTGCAAACATAAATCTACTGCATGTAAAATGATCTGAGCTTGTAATGAAAGCGGTTCCTCATGTGACTGGCCTCACAGGCTCAGGACGTTCTGCTAAACTTACATCATGTCATACACAACAACGACTGCAAAACACACATGGAAAATTAACATTCTGCCTTCAGACTTGCTAGTCTGAAGGCAGAATGTTCACATAGCTCTTTTCTATAAGTGAAGGTGGGACATATGCGGCCAAGCACCAAAACTGCCATAAAATATATCAAATACATTTAGTAAATTCTTGCAGTTCTCAAATATCATTTGCATATTCAAACATGGCAAATCAAGATGTCAATTTTTATGTTT